ATTTACATACGATAAAGGGATGACATGCCTATATACTTTTTCCTCACCGTTTTCATAATTATATATGGGACGGAAAACGGTACACGATTGCTAGTTAGGCTAGAGTAGATTTAGGGGGACCTGCCCCCCTCAGAAACAGAAACTGTATTATTTTTTGCTGTTAGTAAACTGTAAGACTTACTTTAATTTTTTTACTGAAGCCGTTTATAAAATTCCAACAAAATATAATACAGTAAATTTGATATTTATTCATATTAATTACACATATTTTACTTGGTGGTATATACACAGAAATTTTTTTATTCTTTTTAGATGCGTGCTTAGGTTTTGGTCTATGAGCATTAGGCCTAGAGATGCGTGCTTAGGTTTTGGTCTTGTTATTCTTTTTTAGTCAAGCACCGAAAAATGTGGTAGAAAACGTTTAAGTTAGAGAAGTAAGGAAACTCTTTAGGCCTAGCACTTTTTTAAAATCCCCTGGTTTGAATTTTATAACAGATTAAGATGAATAAGGTTTAAGTATTAGACATTAGGGCTAACTCTTTTATTATCGTCTTTTTAAATATTTTATTTAGTAAGTTCTAATTGTGAGCATTAGGCCTAGAGATGCGTGCTTAGGTTTTGGTTTATGAGCATTAGGCCTAGAAATGCGTACTTATGGTTTGGTCTATGAGCATTAGGCCTAGAGATGCGTGCTTAGGTTTTGGTCTATAAGCATTAGGCCTAGAGATGCGTGCTTAGGTTTTGGTCTATGAGTAAAGTAAGTCATGAAATACGAGTCCTACCTTTCCACCTGGTCTCGTGTCACACTGAAATAACCATTTAATTAAGATTATTGAAATAATAAACATATTGCAGAGAATTTGAAATTTTGTGGCGTCGTGTCTGTCATATGTTCCATTGAAGTTGAGAAAATTATCTTTAAACAGTTTAATCTCATTAAATAGATGCTTGAAATTAGTCATGTTATTAACGGATATTTTGGTCATTGCTTCTTGGGTGCGAACTCGTACTACAGTTCAGTACATGTTAATCCTTAAAAACAAACATTTTCCTGCTATGCCCTTATCACAGTTAGTTTTTGAAAAACCATAACAACGCTCATTTTCTTACCAAAGCCCTATCATTTTCACTTATCTTGATTCCTCTCTTAAACTTAATGTCGAGAAAGAAGAAACGGCAAAGATAATAACGTCGTTGCTGAGACACCATATTTGGAGCATTTTTCCACAACTATGATTACAGTACAGGAAATTCATCTCGGCTGTTTTGAGATATAAATTTGTTTATATAATGTTTGGGGTTGTAATTTATTTTGAAGGTTAAATACCAGTTTGACAGCTGTCAAGCACAGTTCTTAATAAACTTTAAAACGAGGAATTTTGATATAGACACCACGTTTGATTGGTGCATAGATAGTATATTCTTGCGCGTACAAAACCACGCGATTTTCAAACCGGAAATTAAACTACTTTCACGCGCGTAAGACCCTGGAGACATTGACGTTAAGTAATGTGAATATTTTTAATCACAGAGTTAGGTGACTGAAAATGGGTGTATTATCGTGGCGCGTTAATATTGCTGCAGAAAAATAACAACAACATAAAACTGATAAACACAAGATCACAAAACCTTCATGGAGTTTCTTATGCCCGCATTAACAATGCGCGTGAAGTCGTAGTTTAAATACTAACTTTAAAAAAAGAGTTCTAGGTGCGGCCTGGTTACTTACGTGCTCGGAATATGAAGCCGAGAGTTCGTGGTTTGCGGTACACTGCCGCTCCACTCTCTGGGATTATTGGTGCGTTATACGAATGACAATCACTTCCCACTATTCTTTCACGAAAAATAATCCTGAGAGTTGACAGTAGATGCTGTTGACTGGTTACTTTCCTATTAGTTTAGGGAAGCTGTCCGTGGGCCCAGTGGTTAGCGTGTCGGACTTTCGATCCGCAATTTGGGGCCATGGGTGCACTATAAGAGTGACAGTCAAATCCAACTATTTAGTTAAAAAAATAATATCTTTAGAGGTAGCGGTGGATGCTGCTGTTGACTAGCCGTCTTCCCTCTAGTCTATCAGTTTTTAAATTAGGGACGGCTGTGCGCAGTTAAAAGTTTGTGTAGCTTTTCGCGAACATTCTAGAAACAATAACATTTATTTTGATGGGTTTTACTCATTCTTCTAGATACGATATTTCGAACACCTTCATTGAACTTTTATTTTCTAACTATACGTTTGGTTTTACTTTTGTATGTTTAAAGATGAAAGTTCGGGAATCTTATCCTAATAAAAAAAAAAATCTGTGATAATATAAATTACATATATTACGTGTTGGGAAGGCGCGTACGGTAAACGAACACAATCTGGAGGAAGGGTGCTTCGTACGATAAGTCTGGAAAATATGATAGAAACCTAGCATTATCACCGTCTGTCAAGACAAAATAGTTGTTCAGAAGTAACAGGACTTCTGATCGAGAGTGTAAAATTACATCACAAAAAATCTGGCGTATTTCTTATGTGTCTAGGAGATAGCCGTCTTTATTGTGAATAATACCGAAAACGTAACATTGAAGAAGAAATTAACGTCTTAAACGTTGTTGTACATTTTACGTGTGTTTTATCTGTTGTTTTTGTAGTCTTTTTTGATCACTTTCCTAAGCATATAAAGATTGTTGATCAACTGGGATTTAAAGATCAATATTAGTTCTGGACTTGTGAACATTGTTAATCTACTGGGATTTAACGATCAGTATTAGTTCTGGACTTGTGAGCATTGTTGATCAACTGGGATTTAACGATCAATATTAGTTCTAGACTTGTGAACATTGTTTATCTACTGGGATTTAACGATCAATATTAGTTCTAGACTTGTGAACATTGTTTATCTACTGGGATTTAACGATCAGTATTAGTTCTAGACTTGTGAACATTGTTAATCTACTGGGATTTAACGATCAGTATTAGTTCTGGACTTGTGAGCATTGTTGATCAACTGGGATTTAACGATCAATATTAGTTCTAGACTTGTGAACATTGTTTATCTACTGGGATTTAACGATCAGTATTAGTTCTAGACTTGTGAACATTGTTAATCTACTGGGATTTAACGATCAGTATTAGTTCTGGACTTGTGAGCATTGTTGATCAACTGGGATTTAACTATCAATATTAGTTCTGGACTTGTGAACATTGTTTATCAACTGGGATTTAACGATAATTGTTGGAGCTCAAGAACTATGAATTGTTAATCAACTGAGTTTTAACGATCATTATTGGCGCCTTAGGAACTATGAATTGTTAATCAACTGGGTTTTAACGATCATTGTTGGAGCCTTAACTATGAATTGATAATCAAATGGGTTTTAATGATCACTGTTGGAGCCTTAGGAACTATGAATTGTTAATCAATTGGGTTTTAATGATCATTGTTGGAGCCTTGGGAACTTTGAATTGTTAATCAACTGGGTTTTAACGATCATTGTTGGAGCCTTAACTATGAATTGATAATCAAATGGGTTTTAACGATCATTGTTGGAGCCTTGGGAACTTTGAATTGTTAATCAACTGGGTTTTAACGATCATTGTTGGAGCCTTGGGAACTTTGAATTGTTAATCAACTGGGTTTTAACGATCATTGTTGGAGCCTTAACTATGAATTGATAATCAAATGGGTTTTAACGATCATTGTTGGAGCCTTAACTATGAATTGATAAGTTCTTTGAACATGCTCCCGCTAGTCGGGCCTCTGTTGTTTTCCAGCATTGTTGTTGACATTCTTTGAACATGCTTCCGCTAGTCGTACCTCTGTTGTTTACCGCTATTGTTATTGACATTCTTTGAACATGCTCCCGCTAGTCGGGCCTCTGTTGTTTTCCAGCATTGTTGTTGACATTCTTTAAACATGTTCCAGCTAGTCGGGCCTCTGTTGTTTACCAGTATTGTTATTGACATTCTTTGAACATGCTCCCGTTAGTCGGGCCTCTGTTGTTTTCCAGCATTGTTGTTGACATTCTTTAAACATGTTCCAGCTAGTCGGGCCTCTGTTGTTTACCAGTATTGTTATTGACATTCTTTGAACATGTTCCCGCTAGTCGGGCCTCTGTTGTTTACCAGTATTGTTGTTGACATTCTTTTGATATTACTGCACATAATTTAAGAAGATCGAACCAGGTCGGAGTTACGTGTCACAAATTCCTGGAAGTGATTTCAGTGGCTTGTAAAATTCCGAGTAAATTACTTTAAACTGCTGTCCACAACTTTAGATTTAATATATGCGAATTATCAAGAAATTGAAAAACGTGTGTAAACGCTGAAGACTGGAAAGGCAGACGCCAATACCAGGAGTGAAATGTATAAAGAATTTGTGCTTTAAAAAATAATATAAATACAAAATGTTAGTAGCAGAGAATGGAATATTCGCCGCCATATGAACCGAATAAAAGGATTGACTGCCGCCTAAAGAGGCACCCACGACTGACAAGAAAGCACGGAGAGTGCTTAGCAACGTCACATCTCGATCTATGGTTCGGCAGGCTAATTTCTAGGCCACGCCCGGTCTTTAATATTATTTACTTCGGGTCAAATCTTTACAATTATATAAACAAACGCACGAAGGCAAAATTAAGTTTTGATCTGTTTACCATACGTGTGTGTGTTTCTATTGGGAAGCGTCAACTGTGTTAGGCCTAAAGTAGGTTCAACAAAAACAACAAGGAGCCCCCCCCAGTGGTACAACAATATTTTTGCGGACTTACAACGCTTGAAACCCGTGGTGGGCAGAGCATACATAAACCATTCTGTAGCTTTGTGCTTAATTACAAACAATGAACAAACGGAATTTTAGAGATGTACGTAACAACAACAAACAAAAATAATTGTTTTGTATATAAAACTCACAAACACGTAAAAATTATTGTCCAGTTTGCTATATACGTATGTATAATTGTAGACGCGCCCTCTGGTGAACAGGATATAAAGTGCGTATAATGATGTACACCATAAGTATTTTCCGGCTGGTGTTTATAGATAAATATATAGCTGCCAAAGTTGTATTTGATGAGGTGTGTGTACAGTAAAACGTGTTCTCTGGTGGACAGAGGAATGTGAACTATCCCCTCCCCCCCAAAAAAAACACAACAACGAAATATATAAAATATGAGGCAAAAATGTAATTTTCACACCCTCTGAAAGACACTAGAAAGTTTTCTTTCTTGTAATATTGTGAGGTGCCCTCTCGTGGACAAAAAGAAAAGTATATTTATAATAATTATAAATTAATACCTTGTGAATATTACACATATGGATTTCTCCGTTGCTTCGAAGATAGGTTTATGATAAAACACTTTAAATACAAGTTATTTAATTTAAAAAAACCTTATAAAAAAAAATTAACCAAAACATGCCTGATTCTCTGAAGCCAGTGTACAGGATTCTGAAAATGCCGTCCAAGGCCTGCGATTGTGCAAAATATCGAACGTGAAGAACGTTCTTTTCTGACCGCTGGGGTTCTGTCGCTGTTCCACAGAATCTATCAAGCCTAGTATCCATACTCAAACTTTCGCCATATATGTCGATGTAGTTAAGGTCACAGTTATTGGGATGGGCAAGCTGGTATTTCTGGAAGGTCAAGTACATCTGGAATAAAGAAAGAAAAATCAAAGTGGTTTGGTTTGAATTTCGCGCAAAGCTACACGAGAGCTATCTGCGCTAGCAATCCCTAATTTAGCAGTGTAAGACTAGAGGGAAGGCATATAGTCATCACCATCCACCGCCAAATCTTGGGCTGCTATTTTACCAACGAATAGTGGGATTGACCGTCACGTTATAACGCCCCAAACGGCTGAAAGGGCGAGCATGTTTGGTGAGACGAGGATTCGAACCCGCGACCCTCAGATTGCGAATCGAGCGCCCTAACCACCTGGATATGCCGGGCCAAAGAAAGTTGTAACAGAGAAAAATGCCCCACCCCCTCCTCTTCCGCATGGGCATGATTTTATTGAAGTCAGCGTGGACAAAAGTGCAAATTAATAACTGATCGATAAAACGTGAGACTTCGAATTGTAAATCTGAACAGCACCTTATGCGCACGAAGCCTAAATGACCAGGTCAGAGACTGACCAGAGGGAAAGCAGTCATTTAATAGCACCAGTCGGTGCAAGAGCTTTGTCTGATTCTTTACACTCAATAACGGCGGGCCCGGCATGGTCAGGTGGTTAGGGCGCTCGACTCGCAATCTGAGGGTCGCGGGTTCGAATCCCCGTCTCACCAAACATGCTCGTCCTTTCTGCCGTGGGGGCGTTATAATGTGACGGTCAATCCCACTATTCGTTGGTAAAATAGCAGCCCAATATTTGGCGGTGGACGGTGATGACTAGCTGCTTTCCCTCTAGTCTTACACTGCTAAATTAGGGACGGCTAGCGCAGATAGCTCTCGTGTAGCTTTGCACGAAATTCAAAAAACAAACAAGCAAACAGTAACAACGTTAACTGGCACATTTATATCGCAGCATCACGTCTCGAACCCGGACTTACGATCCGCAACCCGACACACACCGACCACTAGGCCACTCCCAGTTTATAAAACTGCGAGACAGTAGAATACCAAGTATTAAAACTTATTATATTTGTTATAAAGTTCCAGTATCGGGTATTGCATCAGAAAAACAAAAAGCCAGTACTTGTCGGGTATCCGAAGATCGAGGTTATATTATGTAAACAAATTTTGAAGTGGACGAAATGATAAAAAGGTTTTCGCGCTATGGAAAGTATAGAGAACTTTACCTCTTTGAAACCCTTTGAATTACCGATGGTGTTCGGAGCCCCATTGTTTTTAAACACATTTTCTGAGCTATTTATACACCAAATTGCTTACGTGTCCTTAATAAGACACGAAAATATCATCAATATTGGAAGTTAGGCTGCTATTTACTGCCATGTATTCATCCCAGTTCAACTTGGTCTGTTTTTTTCCCCCCCCTTTTACACTGAATTTTTATTTTATCTACTGTTATGACCTTAATACCAACTACTGTAGTCTGGGGGTCGGCAACCAGATAGCTGGCCCAGTCGGCAACCAGATAGGACGAGTATGTTCGGCGACGGGGATTCGAACCCACGATCCTCAGATTGGGAGTCGAGCACCCTAACCGCCAGGCCCACTGTAACAGACAAAAACATAAAATTGCTTAATTTGATGCAATATGTGGATCTTGAACGGAAGATAACTGATTCTGTATTATATGTTTTTGTTGTACTTTGACAGGGAGTGTAAACGTCACCTGGTGTGGCTAAAGTTTTTGCGAAATCTTAACATGTAGTGTATTACAGATTTCCCATCATTAACAGATATTAACCTGCTCCGCGTATAAAAGTGTAATATATATCCCCCCCCCCCACCCCACACACACATACACCCAAAAAGTTAATGAATCAATATAAAGTCTAAGGTCGTTATAATGTAAACCTGATTCTTTACGTCAAGCCTACGTAGCTCAGAAAACGAACTAAACTCTTTTTTTTAGCCGCGGCATAACGGCTCATAAAACGCCTCCGAGTTTTTCTTTTTTCAAGTACAAACTTTTAGCTCGTAACTCTATCTCTTGACCAATTTGAGATCTAGTTACACCTATGGCTATTGAGAATTCCTTCTTCTTCTTTTAAACAGTCGAAAACACCACAGCGCCATCTACATTCTATATAAAATAATATATTTTTGTTTAATCTTTGTTTTACTTAAGTTATAATCCAGATGTTAAGAATCTACAACAGTCTGCCTGTATTGTTATCATTACTTACCTTCCAACTAGGGTAAACTTCGATAGCCCAAGTACAATCCAAAGAAACATTCCAGCTTAACGAGTAGTTGAACATACTCTCAGAAATGTCGTTATTACTAATGAAGCCATCCGATCCGCCCTTGTGGAAAATACATTCTAGAGAAAAATAAACGAATAGGGTTAACAAATTATGCGGTAAAAATAACTAAGCCTATTATCTTTATTTTAAAACCAGAACTCTGTATGTAAAGCGAACACAAATCCGACTAACATTAACACACTTCTTTCGTGTGATTGCTCTTTTATCCATGAACGACAGTGCTGCCCCTAGCAGATGTAACTTAATATCCGAGTAAAATAATTTAATGTAGCATATTTATGCTTATCAATCAGTAACACATGAAAAAAAAAACTCTTTCCATTTTTATTATATAAAAGTGTATTTATTTTATATCTAGGCTTAAAATTTTTTTACAGCTTCTTAGAATTAAGCATTTTATAAATTAGAACTGTTTCAGAATTTTTGCGCAAAGTTACACAAGGGTTAGTTCCATGGTGATTTTACGGACTTTCAACGTTAAAATGTGGGGTTCAATTCCCTGCGGTGGGCAGAGTGAAGAATAGCCTATTGTGAAGCTCTGCGCTAGAGTAAACAACAACAGCACAAGAGCTAACCCTAATTTTGAAATTATAGACTGAAGGGAAGGGATCTAGTCAACATTGCCAATGGCCAACTCTTGGGCTATTCTTGTCTCACCGAATAGTGAAACTTGACTGTCACTTTTATAACGCACCAACAGTCACAAAATGTGGGCCGATAAAGGGACTCAAACCATGAATTACCGGATTCACAGTTCGGTTACGCTAACCACGAGCCACACCCGCTTTTATACACAAATTAGCATAAGTCTCCTTCCGTAAAGATTTTAATGTGACGAGCTTTTGGTCACTTAACAACAACTGTTAACAGGCTGAATGTAGCTGAAAGTATGAATAACCAATTCAGTTTCTGAAACAGTTTTGTCTAGATAAATAAAAAAGAAACTAAACGAGTTACTTCTAAAGTACACAGCTCTTTGATTTGTAATGTTTTATTACGTTCTTTGTCTTAATTAGTGAGATAAGTAAAATCTCTAGAACGTACCTTCAGGCGGAGGGCGGTGAAAATCTGTAAAAGAAAGTATTTTTTTTTTTAAACAGTAATTCATTTTTCAGGTCGAGATAATTACAGAAAGTTCATCACTTCAATTAACTTATTAAATTATTCTCAGCTCCAAAGCTACAGAAAACAACATACAAATAAAAGTTTACTACTAGTGCTAAAAAAGCCACGACTATGGATTTGTCAAGTCTAATATTTAATGGTTTGAAATATGTTAAGAAACATTTAGATAATTACTGTAAAATTGTCAAACAGAACTGGCATTAATCAGTTCAGCAACATTGGTAATTCCATTAAATGTAAAGAGAAAAAAAAAAGTAAAGACCTTGAGGCTACAGTTACAGAAATCTTTGGTTTTAGTACTCTTTATAATTGTCTTCTTGTTGATGTAATTAAAGAGAATCTCCAAGCAACAAGTTTAAGTTCTTTTGACACTTCTGATTAATAAACACAGATGTTTCATGATTTATAAATGTGACTTATAAGAAGAAAAAAACCTTGTTTCACATTAAACTAATTATTGAGAGTGGAATGCTTTGTTACTTGACAACACATTTGTACAGTTCTGCCAACTGATATTAAGAATTCCAGGGGGAAGTAACTTCAGCCCACAAGTTGCAGGTTTATATCTATTGGAACTTGAATTTTGTTACATAACAAAGTTGCGTACATTAGTCTCTCTTGTAGATATATAGATTATGTTCTTATATGTAATTAACAAGGTTTTTTAGACCCAGTCAAACAAATGTAGCCAGCAGAACTGAGTCTGTCATGAAAAGTTCTTTCATTAAAAACAAAGTTCATTGTCTGAATTCAGATATCAGCATCGTTAATTAAACGTTCGACTTAAAAATTTAAAACAAAACAGATACTTTTAATTATGAAGTTAAAATTGTCGTGCATGCACAGCTGCGCAGCAAACTGACAGGAACTGCGCATCGAAAAGAACAGGACACTCATAAGATAGTCAACTGATAGCAATTTAGTGTGGAAGACATAGGCCTACAATCTTACTGTAATTGATGTAGCGTGTATGCCAGACCTAGGCCTACAACCTTACCATAACGAATGTAGCGTGTATGTCAGACCTAGGCCTACAACCTTACCATAACGGATGTAGCGTGTATGCCAGACCTAGGCCTACAACCTTACTATAACGGATGTAGTGTGTATGTAAGACCTAGGCCTACAACCTTACTATAATGAACGTAGCGTGTATGTCAGACCTAGGCCTACAACCTTACTATAACGGACGTAGCGTGTATGTCAGACCTAGGCCTACAACCTTACTATAATGAACGTAGCGTGTATGTCAGACCTAGGCCTACAACCTTACTATAACGGACGTAGCGTGTATGTCAGACCTAGGCCTACAACCTTACTATAATGAACGTAGCGTGTATATCAGACCTAGGCCTACAACCTTACTATAACGGACGTATCGTATATGTCAGACATAGGCCTACAATTTAAATAATATCGAAACGTAATGCAGGAGTACAGTGGCTCAAAACAAGAAACGAAAAGATGCTGTAAAGAAAAGTAGTGTTCAGAGGAGTTTGTAATCCTTCCAGTACAAAGAAAACTAAAGGGACCTCTGATTACAATGTTTATAGTTCACAACCCATTAGATACAATAGAATTTGTTTAACAACGCCAAACTCAATTTTCGTGAGGTTTTTTCTGTCTTTGAACAACAAATTAATTTAATTTTATGAAAGATCCAATCATTCCCCTTGCGACAGATTATAGATTTAAAAGTTTTTACAGAATATCACCAACTTTTCCAATGTAGTTTAGTGTCCACCATTAGTTTCACCTCCAGGTAGCTTTAACTCTTAATATAGTTAATGCAGGCTATATAACACTTTCATATATATATATATATATATATATATGTGTATTTTATTGTATTGTTACGCCTCCGTTTGTTAATTGATTTTCCGTAAATTCGTTCCGACGAAATTTTAGCGACACAAGTCCTTTCTTAAATAAAACTGGTTTATTCTTTCCGAATACAACTTTACGATACACTTATTTTCAACAGTCGCGCTATAACAAACTATAGTTCACGTCTCACGAGCTCTACTTCAACAATTCGTCTCTCTCTCTGACTGCAGTTCAATTACTCATTACCTACACACACATTGTTGTCCC